GAGAGTGTGTGTGTGTGAGTGAGTGAGTGAGTGTGTGTGTGTGATAGTGTGTGTGTGTGTGTGTGTGTGTGTGTGTGTGTGTGTCTCCTCAGGTGTGGCACTGTCTGATCGCTCTGGGCGTCTCTTGTCTGGATTGCAGAGGTTCGGTTCAGTATCCCCCCTCCGTTCTTGTGGATGAACAGCCAGAGTTTGATTCCTGAGCCAAACATCCGATCACGTCCAAAGAATGAACTACGCTCATTTGTTCTTCCTATGTGAGGAACGTCCTTACTGTAACAAACCGCACAATCCAAATATTTGACTTTATCTTTGTTTCCTTGCATCAGTTCCTGCTCCATGGCTCTTTGCTTTGCCATGTTTTATAGATCTACTATTGTACGTCTGGCCGAACTGAGTTGAGTTCATGTAAGTGTAGATCTACTGTGCTCCTCGAATAACCTGTTTACTACCAACAGCTGCACTAATATGGAATGAAATCATTCCTTGCAGAAAGTGCACAGAACGGTCGGTGTACAATCAGTTTAACAGTTCAAATTAGACTCTCTAACTTACTAATGACTATAATAATAACGGATTTGCTGGTAAACAGCACACAAGATGATTTGAAGTTATTTAAAGGTTTGTTTTTGTTACCATGAATAAACCGATGAAGTGTTTTATGACCCGTAGGAATATTAGCCTGCGTTCTGCACCCTAAAACACGTGTTTTAATACCTGAATGAAAGAGAAATGAGTGTTCATATTCTTGAAGGAACTGTACAACCAGCATTGAAATGAAGAAGCACATGAGACGCTCATCAGCTGGTCTGAAAAGGTTATCATACCTCATACAACTGACATGCCAAATAAAGTTATTTTAATTTAACAAATTAAAATAAATTGAAAATAAAGTAATCCTACATTTCTGTCAATAAATCACCCATCCACCGTTGACATTTAAGGGATAGTTCACCCAAAAATGAAAATGGTGTCGTTTACACACCTGTACGAGTTTCTTCTGTTGAACACTAAGGTGAATATTTTTGAAGAACATGGATAACCAAACGGTTGACGGTAGCCATTGACTTCCATAGTGTGGAGGAAAGTACAGTGGAAGTCAATGGGGACTATATAAATGAATTCTTTGAAATCTTTTCTTTTGTGTTCAACCAAAGAAAGAAAGGTTTGGAACAACTTGGGTGATAAATGATGACAGAGTTTTCTTCTTCGGCTGAATTATTCCTTTAAAGCATTTTGTTTAGTTTTTTCTCCCCATTTCAAAGATTCTGTTATTATCGGCTGTTCGCTTCGTTTAGGTGCATCACTACTTTAAACTTCTGTTTGGTCAACAGATTTGCTTCCTTCACTTGACTGTACTAGCAAGAGTTTATGAACAAAATAAAAGCAATACAGTTCTAAAAAAAAAAAAAGGAAGCAACAAAAGTGCCTTTAATTTTTCATTGTTTTGTCATATTCTAAATTCTGATGTGTCTTCATTAGATGTGACTGTCACTGATGGTTAAAAGTTGCCCTCAATGTCCGATCATTTCATTCAGGTTGAGATGACTTTGATGTACTGTTTCTGCATTTGTCTGGTAATAACAGATGTAAGTTATTTTGGTGTACGAGGCAGATACTTGTGTTTCTGTATGTTTTAAACCCATTCCATGCTGTCAAACACAAGGAATAATTAAACTGGGCAAAAGAACGGCTGAGATATATTTATGCTTTATGTGTTTGTAGCTGAAGAACCTGACGGGTCTGTGCACACTACATGGATAGCTGACAAATTAATAAAAGCCCAAATGATGTGAAATGTTCTAGTGCTACACTATTGCAGCATTTGTGGACTGAGTGCAAACAAACAAGTAAGCTGTCTGTGCCTGGGACACACTAGACGATTTTCAGTTCTCAACCGATTTTAAAACCCTGCGAGACCACAGACATGAAGACAGTTTCATCTGATTAAAACCTTTGATAAAGTTTGCTCGAGTTAGTCACGTGTTGAAAATGAAGAGGTGGAAAAAGAGGAAAGAAAGCGAGCTTGATAAAGGTAAGTGATGATATTTTGAAAATATATTGTTGAGATGCCAGTTGCTGGATCGTGTCTTATCCGTTTAATTTGGCATTTTGTGCCAGTGTAACAACAGTGTCATCTATAGTACAGTAATAAACATGAACGCTGTTGTTATTGTGGGCACTTAAAATTACTTGAGAATTCTAGATACCTTATTACCAGAATTGTGTAGAGTTTTAGAACACACATTACCTTATTTTCCATCGACCAGTTAAGTTACAACACTGCGTGTTTGCTGTGTAAATGTTCGGTCTGGCTTTCACACAGATCTGAACAAAATCAGCAGACGTGCTGAATAAAAATGCAAGTTCACTCTCTGACAGGAGGCGGTGCTTTAGGAAGAGCAGAAATACAGCCGTTACCGTGGTTACCCCTGTGCACAAAGCATAAATATAAAATAGAATTCGCTTTGGTGTTTATCAAACAACACAACATATTCAAATACGCCATATTTTTTATTCAAACATTTGTTTACAATTATACATTTTTGCATCGGTCTAAAACAAGCCAGCCCAGAAAAGAGATTATTCTCTATTACTATTGAAAATATTAATAACATAATTTTTATTATTATTCTCTATTTTAATTTTCATAACCCATTGATGTTCTTGTTTCATTAAAGCATTCATTTCACTCAATTTTGATACATTACTCTGAAAGTCACACAATAGAGGACGTTTTGGACAAAAAAATGGTTTGTGGCGAGCCTTGAATGGGGAATGACATGAGGGTGAGGAAGTGATGACAGAACTGAACAGCAGTGCATTTTCTGCATTCTAGCTCTAAAGCAATGCTTTACTGTCGAGTGCTTTTCTATGTGACAGAAATGCATCATCAAGTGTGTTGCATTTGCCGTGAATTCCGTAACATCTCTCATTATTGATTTCTGTCCTGTTTTATTTATTCATTTATTTACTGCAATTTAAGGCCCTGAAACCCAGCAAAACATTCACAGGGATTCACAGATTGTAACCCCAGTCCAGCCCTGATTAAAACTAATTAATTGAGTCTCTATGCATAAACTCACCTGAAATATAAATTAAGTGCACTTTAAGTCCACTGTAAAATACATACTTGTTTTGTTTCCTTTTTTCAAGTTATCCTAGTTGTCTCTGGCTGTCCGTTTAATTTCAGGTCAGATCTGCCTTCATAAGCAGGTGAGTATGCAGACTTTATGAGAAGTCAATACCCTGATGTGTATATGTGATGAAACTCCAGTCTGTTTCTAATAGTATGGAGACATGAGTTTGAGTTAAACAGGCCTCATGAAATAGTCTCAGATTAGCTCCATAATGTAATGTCCTGCCAATCATGCTCACGTCACATTTTGGTTGTGGTTCATAACCTTGATATCATAAACTATTGGTTGTTTTGCAGATATATTCTCAGTTTTATTCATTCTGTTTTCTGCATCTTCTCGTTAATAATTCAGTATTCGAAACAGCCCTTGTGAAAAAGAACTTCAGCATACTTTTAAAAAGAGTACTTGTCACGGAAAGAATATACTTTAGGAGAATGTATTTAAAGCAGCTGTATTATTTCTAGATAATTCTGCTGGTACACTGATTTCTAATAAGGCAAATGGCTTGTGTTTCTTTCTCCAAAAACATCTGTTCTGGGAGAAATCCCAGGAAAAGTCCGGATTGTTTTACAGCAGAAACAAACGCACATGTACAGCTACTGCATCTCTGTAATGACGACAGTGTTATATACGACAGCGGATTCTGTACAGGGCTCCAGAGTCACAAACAGAGGGTTCTTTAATGCATGATTTCATTTACCTTTAAAGTCAATGCTTTAACTCTACTGTAAAACTTTTAATTATACATTATTTAAAGGTGTAATTAGGTGTGTTAGGAAACATAGTCATGAAAGTGTACTCTCGTAAAGTTTTATTTCATTAATATTATGTTGTCTGCAAGTACAGACACTTTTAAGATCTGAAGTACACTAAGAAGTGCACATTAAGCACACTTCACAAGCATACACATCAATGATGGGAAAACCTGTGAGCCTCCTTTGTCTCTTTGAGATCAGCTGTAGAGATTAAAAGATCAGTAGCTAAGTGATCACTTTTGGTGAGCTATTAGAGTAAAGCTTCATCAAGCAGCACTAAATCTCCTGTAAAACACAAGCGCTCTCCCCGAGAGACAGGGCTTCAGCGTGATGCTTCAGAGACTTACACCATGCTCCGTCTCACGTTTGTTCATTCAAACGCGTCTGGAAGATGCTTTCATCCAAAGTATTTGGTGTAGAAACAATCTTAGAAATGTGAAGTAGAACAACTGAAATAGCGTTTTCTTGTAAAACACTTCAATCATTTTTCTTCAAAACTTGTTGAGCTGCAGTAAATGGCATCAGCTTCATTCATGATGTCCTAAAGATATCTAGAAGAATGTTCTGTTTTATTTACATAGTTTTAGTAGTTTTGGTGTGATGAAAGAATTCATCATGTAAATGAAGCCTTACTAAGACAGAAACATGATCTGATACACCTCAAACACACAGCAGCTCTTCAGTCTGTAATCCGATTAGTAGTCATTGTGGTTAATGGATGTGTTGCGTAGGTTCGTCCCCGATGACATGAGCAGCACTTTAATGGCAGATCCCAGTGTGTGTGTGTGTGTGTGTGTGTATGTGTGTGTCAGGCTTCAGCCTGAGTTAGAAAACACTGTAACAACCTCATTATGAGGGCAAGAGGATATTTTTCCATTGATGGCTATTCAAAAGTTGCTGTGTATTCTACCATAGTAAGATTGCTGTAAGCATTTAAAACATTATATAACATTACATTATAAAACAACGCAATTTATTTGCAAAATTTTTATCGAGATAATTAATGGGATCAGAACTAGTGTTCTTGCTTCTGCCATTAACTCATGATTAACTCAGATGCAATAGGACTCTGTTTCAGTCCGTTTGAAACCGTGCCACTCTCTGAAGTTCATGATATTATTTTTCATTTAAAGCGTTCATTTTCCCCCGGTGACGCAGTCTCATTGTGCATTCTTAAGGATGGCATTGATATTGTCAGTCAGGGTATTTTATCGATAAGATATAAGATATTAGAAAAAGTTGTCTTGAGACAACTTACTACTTTTTTAACCAATAATAATATCTTAGATACATTCCAGTCAGGCTTTAGGTGCAGACATAGTACTAAGTCAGCACTCTTACGGGTAGTGAATGATCTTTTGCTCATAAGCGATGCAGGGAATCATGCTGCCCTAATTCTACTGGATCTATTAATTCTATTGGTTTGTCAAAATCCAAGGAACAGTTCATACATGGTTTGCATTCTATTTAGAGCAAAGCTCTTTTGCAGTGAAGGTTGGTAATTGTTATTCACATTCTGCACATCTTTCCAGTGGGGTCCCTCAAGGGTCCATTCTGGGCCCTGTTTTGTTTTCACTATATATGCTCCCATTGGAAATGATTTTTAAAAAATATGGCATTTCTTACCATCTATACGCGGATGAAACGCAGACCTATTTGCCTCTAAGACCTAATTGTAATGTTTCCCGTGCAACACTCCGTGGATGTCTGGATGAAGTGAAAGATTGGTTGGCTGACAATATGGCTCAATTGAATGAACGCAAAACAGAAATTATGATTTTTGGTCGTTCAGTTTTTAATAAGGCTGAAAGTGACATATTAGGCCCTTGGGCTTGCTACCTACAGGACAGAGTAAAGAACTTGGGAGTCATTTTCGATTCCTTGGTAAAATTTGATAATCAAATAAAATCTGTAGTTTAGTTTTTAGTTTTAGATTTTAATTTTTTTTATC